CCCACATCTCTGCCATTTTTTCAACTGGAAAACATCCACATTCTCTTTTTAACACATGCCTGGCAAAATCCTGCCGCCCTACAGGTCTGTCAAATGCTGCGTCCTCTGCACCTTACTCCGAAGGCCACAGCGGCATCTGTCCCCACCCTCCCCATCCCTGAGGCCCTCTATTTGTCCCTTTCCTGTGGCACCTTCCAAATAGGTTTTGCATCACCGTTACGAGGACCCTCACTTCCCCTCTCCCTCCTGGGTGTTCGTGACGTTCACAGGAAGGCTTCTGGTCCAGAGGTCACGCTCTGCGCCTGAGTAACCTGGGCATCTCCCCAGGGAACACAGGGAAGTGCCCTCTTCTGAGCAAGGAATCAACTCACTGGAATGAAGCCAATCAAAGGAATTTTGCTATAACTAAGCCCACAGAGGGGTAAAAAGTGTAGTTTTTGGTCAATGTTCCTTAGAAATTAGGATTGCTGCTGGAAGTCTGGCTGAAGCCATATTACCATGGGACCCACATCCCAAAAAATCTACCTCCCAGGGAAACTGAAGGCTTAGGCCACCACTCGGGTCTTCATTCCCTCAGTGAACACTTGCTGGCCGATCATGACATCCAAACCACTGTGCTCGATGGGACCTCAGTATCGGGGAAACACAGTCATCGGTGGACACTGAGGGGAAGTAAACAGGCAGATGAAGAGAACGATTTCAAATTCAATCGGCACGTGTTCACACAGTGTACTGGCGGGTGTCGAGTTTTCCGGGCACCATGCCAGTGTAATCTGCCTTTCACGGCCGTCAGCCATTGGAGGCCCAGTGCAAGAGGATCCGCACAGCCTCCGCAGCCAGCCTGCCTGGCCTGAATCCTGGCTCTGCCATCCCCACGCCATGTGGCCTGGGGCAAGCCACTTAACCTCCTTTCCTCAGTGTACACGTGTACAACGTAGGGACAACCACAGGACGATCTTCTAGGGTTGATGCAATGAGTGAGTTAATATTTGTAAGGGGCTTAGAACGGTGCCTGGCTTGCATAACCAAAGCTGTACACATGTGTGTTAAAGAAAAAATTTTAAACTGCTTTCACCGATAACATATTCACATTAGAGGCAATTCATCACCACGGCACAAAATGCAGCACACAATAGGTAGATATTCTCACCTAAAATAAGCATCTTGAAAAGAGCAAGGTCTTAGACTAGAATACCACCCGAATACCTCATTGTGCCTGGAGGGTCAGAACTTAGCATTTGGTGCTGAAGGCCAGCAGTCCAAGCTCTCCCCTGCCATCCTGGAACAGCCTCGTGGTGCCTCCCAGGAGTTCTGAGCTGCTCTTGGCCTCGAGCGCAAACAGAATACACCAGCCCAGGCCTACCTCTGCTGCCCCAAAACATGGGGGACTGTGAAACGGTTTTGCCTGACAGAGTTACTCCAAAATGATCACACTGCTATCAACTACGTGACAAAACGACGTTACTGAAAAATAAAAAGCAGGGTCCCCTTATTGGACACTAGTGTGCTGGGCACTTTGGTGTTCTCAGCATTCAGCACATGACAGAAACTCGGTGAACGCAGGTTCAATTAAAAGTGAAAGGATGAAGAGCCACAGGAACAAAGAATCCGGCAACAGCACGCTTGGGTTCAGTATTCTCCAAGCTTTTTCAGCCAACACAAGAAATCTCATCGCACACCTCCAATATATATGATTCATAGATGACCCACAACTGTCAACGAGATTGCAAATATTATGAAAGTTTAGTTGCTTCCTTATTTTTAGATAAAAATACAAGCAGATGTCCTTCTATATTCCTGCCACACTCAGCAGGTTCGTCTTGCTGACGAACCCCACTCTGGAGTTCTGGGGAGGCTCCACACCCCACTCTGGAGGCGATTACTCTACTGGAGCAACTATAGCACAATAGCTGTCACCAAATAAAAGGAAGACTTAGGGCAGAGGTCCCTGTCCACAAATTCTGCTTGTGACTCAGGCAAGGTGACAGTCGGGGCTTTCCTCCGTCCCCGCCCCTGCTCCTCTGGCAGCTCTTTTCAGCAAGTTTCCAGGTGTCAGGAACCCAGAGATTCCCAAGTCACTGTCTGATACCATTTCCCCAGAACACGACTGAGACAAGGAAGCGGAGCCAGGCACGGCCCAGCTGGCGGTTACAGTAAGAAGCAGCAGGCTCAGCTCAGCACGGCCGCTGAGCAGAGACAGTATCTTGGCGCAGTCCCTGTACCGAGCTTCACCAGAGGTGCCGAGCTGAGCCAGGCCCACGGCTGCAAGCCGCCTAGTCACGGTCGGCCAGCCACCTGCTGTCCGACGGATTGACAAAGGTGCCACCGTAGGCTGTGTTTCAGTAAGTATTTGGTATTAGTTGAGAATTCTGTTCCCATACTGATTCCAGCAGGTATTAATGATGGAGACGCACAAGATTCAGTCTCTGTCCTTAAAGAAAAGCAGATTATTATGATAAACCTGCAGATGAGGACGTGAAGGCTTTTGTGGAGTAAAGTCAGAAAAGCCAGCAGAAGGCAGGTGGCCTCTAAGGGCCTGCAGAGCATGAGCGCACAGGCCCCAGGCGGCGGGGCGGCGGCTGGGCCACTGCAGCAGAGTGCGTCTGAGACGGCAGGGAGACCGGCGCACTGGGAGGAACTGTGCGGCTCCACTGCAGTGACGGGACGGGGGTGGGGGGACGCAGGAGCGGGCAGGGGTGACACCATGCCACACGGCGGAACTGAACTGCATCCGGCGACAGGTCACACACGCGGAAATGGCAGGGCGAGATCAAATAACAGAGGAAGCGAACAACAGAGGGAACAAGCCGACCTGGCTGCTGCCCACTTGTGTTCGCAGCAGGACAATTCGCAACAGCAGAACGGTGGAAGCAGCCCAAGTGTCCACCGACAGACGACGGATGAACGAAACGTGGCCAATCCATGCAATGGAATAGGAAGAACATCCTGACACAGGCTATGACACAGACGGACCCAACGACATATGCCAACTGCAATAAGCCCGTCACAAAAGAACAGATACTATGTGACGCCTCTTACAAGGCATCTAGAAGAGTCAAATCCACAGACAGAAAGTGGGATGGTGGGTGCCAGAGGCCGGGGAGGGGAGACAGGGAGTTGTTCAATGGAAAAATAAGAAGAGAAAGTGCCGGAGCTTGGTTGCACAACAATGAGAATAAGCTTAAGACTCCTGAACTGTACAACTAAGATGTTTATTGCATCACGATTCTGTAAAAGGCCATATAGCCCAAGTGCAGTCAAGAATGACATATAAACCAGAGCCGAGACAAACCAGGGAATTCCCACCACGCTGATGCAGAGGTGAATGTGCCGACTGGCCGCTGTGAACCAGAATGTGGAGGGCGGAGCCGAGAGTAACTCTGAGGTTTCCAACTCAGTAGAGGATAGTATACTAATTAGCATACTAGATAAACTTTTCATGAGTAAGAAAATTTTGTTCAGACAACTTTTTTTAGCACTTGCTATGTGCCAAACACTGTCTGGAAAAGGTGGACATCACAGAACAAAAAAATCACAACAAAAAATCCTGCTCTCACAGAGCTAACAATCTAATGGCAGCGTCATAAAACAGCAAGCAGGTGTGTGACACGATACGGTGCACAGTAAATGATGTGATGAAAGGAAAGCAATTCTCCTTTGGAAGAAATGCAGATGTGGAAGAGCAGACACTTGAGCAGAAACCTGCATGAAGTAGGGAAGCAACAGCTCCAATTTTTTATAAAGAAAAACAGAAAATGTTCAGTCTGTCATCCTCATTTGGTGAGGTCATGGATCAGTCCAGAAATAGATCCTCTGACAGGAATACGGAAAATAGAAACCTAACCAAGGAAGTGAAAGACCTATACTCTGAAAACTACAAGACACTCTTAAGAGAAATTACAGAGGTCACTAACAAATGGAAACTCATCCCATGCTCCTGGCTAGGAAGAATTAAAATGCAATGAAACCGTATTTTTCTTATACTCAGGTGGTCTTACTGCAAAGCACCTCACTAATGTATAGTGCTGCCCTCATATTACTTTAGGTCCAAAAACTACAAAATGCTTCTGTTTTCTGGGACAGAAGTATACATATGGTGGTGATGGCAAGGGGCACTGGATTGATAAACATGAGATTTAAAGAGACTTTTAAGAGCATGAACTTACTTTTTATTAAAGATATTAAAGAAGAAAAAAAACACTACTTAACAAGACTATAAAGGCGTGCATATAGAATTTCAAAACGATGCCAATTACAAAAATTGTGACTACAATCACAAGGTTAACATTTTTTTAAAGTTGTTTGTCATCAGATTTGTGACTTCTGAGTACGTTTTATTTTCCTAAGGCAACATTTCCAACTGGATTAGGAAACACATATACTATTGGAATGGAAAGAATACTGTGAATGATTTTATTCAATCCTCTAATTTTAAAGGTCCAGGAACTGAATCCACGCAAGGTGAAAAACTGGCTAAGGTCACATAAAGAATGACCATCACAAGGCACAGGGCCAGGTCCCTGGGCTCAGAGGGCATTGCTCTTCCTACTACAGTGGCAATGAGATTGCAGGCAGATACTGATCCTCTTTCAGTCTAAAACAGCTACCAGAAAACTACAGACCTAGGAGGGAATATCCCAAACCAGTACACCAGAGACAGGAACAAATGAGCACATTTCAAATATGCACCTGTAATATACAGCTGCATGGTTTACTATTATAAAATCAAGGGATAAGCACACCATTGTGTTCTTAACATACTTTAATATGCCTTTACTGAATAATGGCGCCAACCTGGATTCTGCAACCCTACATAAATCATAGCCTGTTGTGGCTAAGCTGTAATGTTACCCAACCAATTTAAAACCATTACTGACACAGAAACATGTATTTAGAGATTTTCTGCCAACTAAGAAACCACATGGTTTTCCAGTCATGTGTACAGGATACTCTATATGGAATGTGCTAAATACTCAAAACCACACTGGTTTTGGGGGTTACCTTTCTTGATTGCTCATTTTGGCATACATGGCTTTTACCAATTCCGGGCTTTTCAGAAAATGATCTGTAATAATCAAGAACCTAAGGAAAAAGGAGAAAATAGCTTTGGTTACTAGAGACATAGTAAAATAGACGTGGTTTTACCTACTTTATAGGCATATCTCACACATAAAGTCACTCCTTTTTATTATGCTTTTGATTAACTATAATCTTAAGATGTTTTAAGAGGTTCACATCCTGTTTTTCTGTTGGCAGCTAAAAGAAAATAAAAAACCTCAAAACACTTTTTTCCAATTTTACTTCTGAAAAGCTTATTGAAATGATTCAACAGGCGTACTATGGCTTTTGTCTAAGTGGAGAAAGGAAAATACTTCAGTAATTGTTCAAGGAGTAGAATAAAATTTAGCTACAGGTTCAGGTATAAAAAGAAAGTATATTAAATTGTTTTAGTCAGAAGTTAAGTGGTAAACTTAACCAGAGAAATGGGCATGTCACACTTTTTATTTAAACATATGCCAGCAACACAGTGATACAGCCTGGCTTGATTACCTGCTCTTTGAAAGCTCTCAGGTTTCCAAGAAAACATCCTCACTGTCAAGCGACCGCACTCATCTAAACTTAGAGATCAACTTATGGAAACCCGGAGGCCAAGATTATAAGCCTATTTCTTCAAAGTACCACTGTGACACTTAAAAAGATTGAATAGTATTATTAATTAATTCTGAATCGTATTTGCCAGAGGGCATCTGAAAACTGAAGAACTAAAGAATTCGCCAATACGCTGTTTACAGCCAAGGCTGCAGTACTCAGAGTGATTATAAAGCATTAAATATATCAGTTTATTTAATCACGTTTTATCAAACAATAAAACAAAAGTATGTCTGTCAGTATGATAACAGAACAAAGCATATTACCACAACACACTGGTCACTTCATATAAAAACTAAATCTAAACATTTATCTATTTCTTCTACAACTTTTGAAATAACTGATCAACATTTTGATGTATAATATTTCTAACAAGAATGAATGTTATTTAAAATTCTCAAACAATTTTCATATCAATTTAGGTAGGTCAGCAAACTGCAACAATAGAAGTTCATGCATTTCAAGCCAGGTACACAAAATTGTGATCCTGAATTAGCTCACTCATAATTCAGCTGTTTGGAGCTCAAAACATTTTTCCCACAGGAACATTCATTTAAAAACACAATATTCCAAGTACTGTATTCCAAGTACTCCAAGCTCTAACAGTGAAGGAAAACCCATACATAGATAATTCGAGAAAAATGTCTTGGGTGCAACATGCAGGCACACATTGTGGATTATCGAAACAACAGTTTTCCTAACCAGAGGGCTGGTGCGGAACTGGGATGAAGGTCAGGAGGCTACAGTAGGTGTTCTGTAAAACCCTAGCTGAAGGAGGAGGGGGAGCATTTAAATTAGAAGTGACAAAAAAACGACTCAGAAACAGCATGAAGGAAACTCAGGGAACTATAAACTATAAAATACTATTAGGGTTTTCAACAACAAATGCTGGCGAGGATGAGGAGAAAGGGGAACCCGCCTACACTGCTGGTGGGAATGTAAAATAGTTCAACCATTGTGGAAAGCAGTATGGAGGTTCCTCAAAAAACTCAAAATAGAAATACCATTTGACCCAGGAATTCCACTCCTAGGAATTTACCCTAAGAATGCAGCAGCCCAGTTTGAAAAAGACAGATACACCCTATGTTTATCGCAGCACTACTTACAATAGCCAAGAAATGGAAGCAACCTAAGTGTCCATCAGTAGATGAATGGATAGAGAGGGATTCAAGACTGAAGGCTTCTATCCTTGAATGCTACTGGCAAACAGCCCCCAGCTGCCAGCCCTCGTCTGAACTGTCCCCTGCAGGAAGCTGCTTCAACCAACACAGGAGCTTAGAAAAGACAGATGTGGTGGCCAAGCCTTCTTTCATGATACTGGTCATTAGTATCCTCGTTCTTTTTTCTTGATCAATTTTGTTGATCTTTTTAAAAAACCAACTATGCCTTTGTTAAGTTTTTCTAGTGTTTTTCTGTTTTGCATTTCATTGCCTTCTGCCTTTATCTTTTATTACTTTCTTCTTTCTACTTAGGATTTACTGTGTTCTTCTCGATTTTCATAAAGTAGAACCTTAAGTCACTGATTTCAGACCTTCATCTCTGATAGAAACATTTAAAGCTATAAATTTCCCTCTAAGCACTGCCTTAGCTTTATCCCACAAATTTTGTATTTTATTGTGTTGTTCAGAAGACTTTCTGATTTGCCTTATCGTTTCTTCTTTGAGAAATCAATTATTTAGATGTGCGAATTTCCAAAATTTTGGAATTTTTCTAGATTAGCATCCTGTTATGGTTTTCTAATTTAAGTATTATGGTCACAGAACATATCTGTACATTTTCTATCTTTTTCATATATTTACTGAGATTTCTTTTTTTTTTTATAGCCCAGACTATGGTCTAACTTGGTGAACATAAAACATGCAGTTGAAAATGAAATGGATTTTATAAGTGTTGCCATAATGTTCTATAAATATCAGTATTAAAATCTCCAAGTATCACTTCCAATTCTGGGCATAACAGGCTAACAATTTACCCTCCTACCTTAAACCTATAAAAGCAGACAAAATAAAAGAAACAATTTTCAAACACTGGAACATAAACCCAAGTCAATCAGGTTGGGGGATAAAAGGCACTTAGGGAATTTCTTCTTAAACAAATAAAATATCCTAAGAAATGTGTGATAAATGTGATTTGATCAGTATAGTTATAAAATCCTTAACGCCTAATAGCAGACAGAGACACACTTAGTGAAGGAAGGAGCACGTTCTCATGCTGGAATGTGTGCTGACGTGGTGGAACTGAAAAGTCTTCCACGTGGAGGGGTGGTGAGGTGGTGAGGGAACCGGGAAGGGGCAAGGGAAGAAGAGAACGGGTCACAGCCACTACGGCGCTCTTTTGCTATGACCACCAGCATCATCTGGAGCAAAAGGAAAGTGTATTCATATTTGACCTTTATGCAAGATAAATTCCAAATGCATCAAACACTTACACATCAAAACTGAAATGATACAATACTGGGAGACAACATTGGTAAAGGAAAGGCCTTTATAGCTACTACCAAAAATAGGCCCCCAAAAGGGCCTTTATAGCCATTGCCATATGAAAAGTCAAAAGACAAAGAAGTAGGGGAAAAAACTGTGTCTTATTTCAAACTATGGGCTAATATC